ACTGGGTCAGGCAGCCTCAGCGCCTCGGCTTTTTCCATATTCACGCTGCACCACAGCTGTTAACCCTGAGTATCCCCATCCTTGAATATGGTGCAGAGCTATGCCTGGCAAGTGCCTTTGGTGCTAATATCCCCGGCCAACCGCAGCTGCAGTTGCCTCTGCTTCTCCCCAGCTGAGCGCTACGCGAGTCCCGGGTTCCCGAAGGCCTGCAGGCTGCCAGGGAAGGTGAGCAGAACCTGCTCTCTGGTCTGGGCTGAACAGAATTTTGCTTATAAAATTGTGAAGGTTTTCTGTCTGACAGCTTTCTCTTGCCCAAAAAAATGATTGAGGATGGATTGAGGAATGAGGATTGTGGATTTTTTTTTTCTTCCCCTCCCCACCCCGTTTTGTCCAAGAAGCTTCCAAGAAGCAGCTACACACTATTCCAGTCTTCTGAATTAGAAAGGACCATAATAAGGAAGTTATTGACTGATTGAATTTACTGTGGTTGTGTTACATTAGCTTATTGTCAAATATAGAATAAGCTTCAGAGCGTAAGCAACTCAAAATAAGACTTAATTTTCATAGAATGACAGAGTGGTTGAGGTTGGAAGGGACCTCTAGAGATCTAGTCCAAGCCCCCTGCTCCAGCAGGGTCACCTAGAGCACGTGGCACAGGGTGGCATCCAGGCGGGTTTTGAAGATCTCCAGAGAAGGAGACTCCACAGCCTCTCTAGGCAGCCTGTTCCAGTGCTCTGTCACCCTCACAGGAAAGAAGTTCTTCCTCAGCATGCAAAAAGGCCTTTTCTTCTTGCAGTGCAAGAGGAGTTTTAAAGGCACTCATTACAAATATAGTAACTTCAGAGATACTTTTTGCTCAGAGATAAAGAATTTTAGGTTTTGTTTTTACTAACCTTTAGAGCAGTATTTAAATCTCTGTCTTTTAGAGGTTCTAAACCATTTTCTAAGATACTGTTTTCCTCTTTTAGTTAAGCTACAGCATACTTGCTTGATTCATAGGCTTAAATGCCATTACAATTTGTGTCCGTTTGGAACGTCAAGGGTTCTGCTGGTAGAAATAGAGACTGAAAATGCCAAAGTTAGTACGTCCTTTTTCAGAAAGGTAAAAGGCATTAATAAATATTGCCAACTGTTGAGATTTTAGAGGTTTCCAATTAGCGTACTTATTATTCCGGTTAATATTCAGTGAATTTGGTTTCTCTTGAGTTACTCATAAAAAGAAAAAGGAAAGACCTAAGAATATCAGAAAGCATTCTGTCAGGCAGCGTATATTAAATGTGAACATAAGCCTGAAGAGGCTACGAGTGGGAAGAGGGCATGAATATCCATCTAAAAACATTGATTTCAGTCATGTGTCTGCATAAGGAGTGTTAATAGGGAATGTTCTGCCTGGCTTGAGGCAGCTGACTGTATAGTACTAGGAAGGACTAAAATCAAATCAAGAGTAAATGTTATTGCCTGATTGCAGCTAGTGAAAATATAACCTGCTTCATATGATTGTTCCTAGAAATACGCGCAGAGCAGCAGAAGTCTGGATGGATGAGTATAAAAATTTCTATTACGCAGCAGTGCCTTCAGCCAGAAACGTACCGTACGGCAAGTAAGTCACAACTGCTTCTTTCTGCTCCTCACTTCGCAAGCCGGCGCTTTCTGAGGTGATGGCCCCACTAGCTCTTATGCTTAGTCTCTTTAACATACAGTTCTATTAAGGAACTTAAGATTTTCTTTTTGTGTGTACATTAAGCTACATGAAGTGCAGTAGCCTGACTTTGAAAACTTGATTTTTTTTTTCCCTCCAGCATTCAAAGCCGAATGGAACTCAGAAAGAGACTTAGCTGCAAACCCTTCAAGTGGTACCTAGAAAATGTTTATCCTGAGTTACGGTGAGTTTCGGCTGCAGTTGGAATTGGCTGTTTCCCTGCTCCAGAAAGCATCAGTTTCTTTGCTTTTCCTTAGACATTAAGCGTGTGTGCATATGCTTATATATTATATAAATAAAATAATATATAATAATTATATATTATATAATGTATATTATGCTTTTATATTCTAAGCATATTATATGTAAGGATATATATAAAAATATATAAGCATAAAGCATATAAACTTTGATTTGCAAAACCAATTCATTACAGGCTTGCTTGCTTTTTGTTAGTTCTGTTCCAAAAATGTCACTTATCTTCCAGAAATCCATTTTCTTTTCCACCTAATCCAATTGCTTGCTGCAGTTGCATCCTGTATTTTGGAGGGCAGTGTCCGTAGGCCTGTGTTTCACCTCTGAGCCTCATGTTAGTCTCCTGCACAAGCTGTTTGCTTGAAGGTGTGTGTGTTTGCATCTTGTCATCTTCCCTTCAAAGCCTTGACTTTCACATAGGCACCTGCATAGTTCAGTGAGCAGACTAATTCACAGCACAGTACGAGTAACTAAAGTCAGCAGATGAGAAAGCTGTGGTTTTTGCTCACTTTAATAAATGCATAGCTCCATGTTGAACCTTCTGCTTTTTTTTCTATGTTACTACATCATAGGGCAATGATTAACCTTTATGCATGTGAAAAAAAATGAGGAAATAAGAGGTAATTTTGCTACAGCTTCTTTGAAATAAATTAGTATTTGCAGAATTTAACCTAATGCATGGTAAAAACTCACGTACTGTTTTAGAATATATCCTGATGAATGAAAAGGACTTCATAAGAGAAAGTGATTATTGAATCACTTCTTAAGTTATGGAACAAAGGTTTATTAATCTATCAGTAAGCAAGACTAACAAACTTGAGCCTATAGACCCCTCAGTCTGTAGTCCCTCTAGCTTTGGCTCATAAGGACACTTAAGCCCTCCCTTTCCCTGAGTGCACTTCGTGTCAGTCACTCCCTCAGGTACTTAGGTAACTGCTAGTGACACAGGCTTGGAGTGCAAAAGCATCAGCAGGTAGAGCCCTAGGAAAGCTTGTGCAGAACTACAGATCCTAAACAGTCCCACAAGCTAGGGCAATGATGCTGAGGAAGCAAGTAGCTCTTTATTTTCTAAAAGTGGCAGAGAATGTTTATTTTTGTGTAATTTAACGGAAGGAATGTGGCTTGCTAGCTGTCCTAGAAAATGTACTAAAATAAGCATTGCTTAAGTGTGCTGTCTTCTTCTGTGTCAGTTCTCATGTGCTCCGTTTGGTTGGGTTGGACTTATTGTTATGGAAGTCTGAAGTTTTAAAAGGAGCTAATATGCCTTTACTTTACCCCCTGCCTCTGAACTGATAATCTTTACCATGTTGAATGTACTCAGTTAAGTGTTTCCAAACTATGAATGTCAGTTTTCGTGCAATGGTCTGAAAATAGATAACAGCAAAACAGTTGTTTTTCTCTGGCACCATTTCAGGGTGAAAGGGTCTTGAACAAATATCAAGTGTCAGATTTCTGTCTCAAGCTAACTTGGCTTAAAAAAAAAAAGCTAGATGACTGTAATGGATAACTTGAAACCTTGACTAGCCTTAAATGATAACATTATCTTCAATTTGCATGTTGTGCTGAGTTCATCCTTATTCCCTGCTAAAAATCTTCATATTCTGCACCAAGCTTACAAGTCTGCTCATATTTGATCAGTTAATGTCAGATAGTTATTTTCCCTCATTAAAAGATGATTAGTTTCCCAAATAGCAGTCATCACTTACCTTCAACCTCTCATCATAAAAATAGTTAGGGTAAAGAAAGGAAGTTAAAAACAAAAAAGAAACTAAACTAAGCAGATATTTCCTATTTCATTTTTAGGGTACCTGATCATCAAGATATAGCTTTCGGGGCTTTGCAGCAAGGTACCAATTGCCTTGACACTTTGGGCCATTTTGCAGATGGTGTTGTTGGAGTTTATGAATGCCATAACGCTGGGGGAAACCAGGTCTGTATGCCTTTCCCTTTTTTTCTTCTCCAAACTCTGTGGTATTAAATAAATAAATAAATTTTAAAAAATAAAAAAAAAAAATTTTTTTTTTTAAAAAAAGGAAGTTGTGGAACTTTAGTCCAAGCAAGTAGTCTGTGCTGGTGACAGAAAGATGAATCCAAACCAACAGACCAGCTATAAAAGCAGACTAAACTTCTTGAAATATAACTTCGCATTTTCAGGGTTAGAATTTCAGAAGCCAGAGGTTCATCCAGTGTACAGCGGGTTATTCTCTCCTGTTTCTCATAATATTTAGTTTTATCCTGGAGGTCAGTAATATCCTTCCCAAAAGTTTTATACTTCTTTGGAGGGCTTTCATCCATCAACTGGTGTGGGTTTTCTTTATTCTTTTCCCTCTTCCTCTGAAGAAAGCTTTTTTGTTGGAAGTTGGTCCTATTTTTTGCGTATGGTCAGCAAAACCAGAGGAGCATGTTACTGTGGTGCTCTGTTAATCGCTTCCAGTGTGCAGTAACAGTGTGTGAAAAACCTTTCTCGAATCCCAGGAAAACTCTTCCAGAAAACAGAGGTTCCCTAAATGTTACCACCTATTCACTAACAACAGAGCATTTCAGTAAATCCTTCCTAATTCTGCTCTTAAACTGATCCCAAATGTGTCAAATCTGTAAACAACATCTAAATGGGAACACTAATTATTGAAGAAAAAACTTTAATTAGGTAATTGTTACTTATAGGCATCGTTAACCAAGTGCTTGCATACGTTTCACTAGATCTGTGCTGTTTGACACTAAATCTTTTTGGAAGCAAGCTGATCTTAAGTCAAGCAAATGTAAAATTAGTACATCAGATATATCCCCTGTTAAAATAATCGGCTAATTAAAAACCTACTATTGAATGAATAAATTGTATCAAATTTGATTTCTAATTTAAGTTAGAAGGGGAAAACACTACAATCCGAGAGAACAATAAAATAAAGAAGCTATTTCAGGAAATGCCGTGGCAACTTTTAATGTGTTGTCAGCATACATCTAAAGTATTCCTTAATCTCTTTAATGATGGAGAAAGGAGGCATATATCCAGTGAGGCCTTTTCAATTAGTGAAAGTGACTCGTCTCTTCAAAGCACCAGAGCGTTTTCAGAAGAAAGGGTGGACATGTCAAAATTGCTTTAGAATTTTTGGAAAAAACACTTTGGAAACTTCTAGTAAAGTTGTGTGTTTTCTGTAGGTATAGAAAGTCGTCATCTTTCAAACTTCCTTCCCTGAGTCTGACACTTTTCTGTGAAATCCTGTCTGTGGAAACGACCCTGAAAAATTAATATATTCTTGCAATGAGCAGTTTCCTAGGAGAGAAGATAAAATAATCTCTTACCTGTATGCTTGGAAAAGAGATTTTTCACAAGGAGATGAGCTTAGACGAAGGCTTTTGTGCCTTCAGCCAGGACAGAGTAACAAGCTGCTTTATTTCCATACGCATCAAAATAACCTGTGCTATTCATAAGCCTGGAGAGTAGGTGCTTCTCTCCTAGCCTTTTGTTGCTCTGTTTTTCCATAGAAACAGCGGTGGTTAAAAAGAGTGTTTTGGTGAAAAAGTCCTTTCTATCAATATACTGCTGTAAAAATTCTGCTGTATCATTTCCATCAGTTTATTGTCTTGAAAAAATACAGTAGAGAGATTTTAATTTGAATGGTCTTGTGAAGGAAAGCTTAAATTCTTTTCACATAGGGCGAGGACTTAATTGGACAGAGCCCTTTTTGACTGGGCACAGGAATGTGCAATATTTTTTTTTTACTGGAAGTACGAGGCAGAGATGAGATGTGGGATATGGCCTGACTCTTGCTGAAGGTTATCCTGAGACCCTACTGGGTGTTCCCGTCTGGGAGCCAGGATGATGGAGTGTTAGATCTCCAAAAGACAGCATAAACGTACTTAGAATGAGAGATCTTTCTGGCATATTGACACCTCATTTTTTAAATTGAAAAGGCATCGGCTTGGGAAATAAAACCTTATTTGGGAAGAAGCCTTAATCTCCTTTGTGAGTAAATGTGAGTGATCAGTTGTTTATGACTGCAGGTGAAGGTGTGAAAACTTTTAGGCAGGGATGAGCCATGCCCCTGCTTGGGAGAGGAGGGCTGGGAGCAGACCACGAGCTTCTACTCGGCCCTGTCAGTTTTACACTCGTTTTTACTGAGGGCACTAGGGGAGATGGGAGTGTTTGTGGTGGGCTGTGCAGAGCCTCTCCTATAATACAGAGGATGTGCTCTGAGTTATGCTCAACCCAACCATATGGAAGTTAGGTGGAAATGAGATCCTTTTTTTGCTAGGACAGATTGGTGAAGTTTAGTGACTTTTAAAAAGTTAGTTTGCTTGTATAATGAGCAAATTGAAGCAATTCTGCTGTTTTGGTTGACAAATGTGTACAGATACATAGGGTTAAGGAGATAATAAATGTTAATGTGCACAGATGCAAGGCGAATGTCTTAGCTCGATGTTCTGCTAACTTTGTAGTTCCAATTTGTAGCACACAGCTTTTTGGATGGCCTGATCTTCCCAGTTATTACACAGGGCCATCCTGTGGTGATGGGGTGGGATTAACTCAATGCTGATTTCCATTTATAGCTAGTGATAATTTCTGGTCACCAAAGGAAAGCATCTGTGTGCTCCGTGTCCTACGGTGACAGGTTCTCATGTAGCTACCTCCAGCAGCAGAGCTTGCAGCACATGAAGCCCTTGGCCTTTGAACATGTTAACACCTTGAGATTTCTCTTAGGTCTGGGACCCTCCCAGGCTTCTCATGGAAGGGCGAAGATGTGTAAAGCCAGACTTTCCAGATTTTGTACCTGCCTCTGGCTGCAGGAATCTCAAACAACAGGCTTTACCACTTAAACTCTAGCAGTACTTAAAGATTTTTGTGAAGTATTAAACATAAGTCATAAAGGGCCATTGCAGATGCTCTTCAGTGGCTCTTAGCGTTTCTTAGAAATTCCGGGTAAGTCCTAAAAATACTTGTGCCATTTCTTAATGTTAAAATCATTATCAAAAGTGGCTGTGAGTGGCCCTTGATGACATTGTACAGACTGGAGGGAACTGAGAAGGCAAATAATTTTGACTGTCATCTGAAATGAGTTGCTGGAGAAAAGTTGATCTTTTTCTCTATGTGTACATGCATTTTTAAGTAGCAGTGAGCTCAAGTTGAACAGTTAGTGTGACTTCAATGGTAGAGCAAATTGGCAGCATTCCTCAAAGGAGGATGAGAGATACGGACAGTATGAAGACCAAACTTTAGGATGAGAGACATGGAGAAAGTCTGGATATCAGGGCCAGATCAGGCCTGTTGAAATTTGTCAGTCCGCTGTACAGCTTTCTGGTAGTCTCAACTGCAGTAGGAACTGTCATTATTTTTGGCCCTGCATTGCACATGCATTACTTAATGTATGGTTAGAGTGGCCAGAGATGCTGCAACCTTTGGGTGTCTTTACCATGGAAAGGATCTGTGACTTAAATTTGAGGACCTGTCTGACTGCCCGTTGTATTAATGTGAAGCCAGCAGAGGGAGCAAGAAGCCCAGCCCAGAGCTCATCTGGGGAATAGTGAAACAAACGAATTTGCTGTGTTTGGAAGTGACCTTTATTTGCCTTATCTATGTGGAAGAAAAGTGCTCTAGTGCTTATTCTGAGCCATTCACAGGAGTTTAACCTGTGCTAGAGATGTAGATGTTAGCAGGACGTGTGCACTTTGTGCAGGTGTTTCCATATGCATTTCTTTTCACTTTATTTATTTTTATTTTTTAGGAATGGGCATTAACAAAGGACAAGTCAGTGAAACACATGGATTTGTGCCTTACTGTTGTGGACAGAGCACCCGGTTCACTAATAAAACTTCAGGGCTGCAGGGAAAATGACAGCAGACAGGTTAGTATGTCATGAGTGCACTCCCCAAGCAGTGGGGAAAAAAAGGGTTGTGTGTGAATGAGAGTAAGGAAGTGCCCTGGGAATGGCATTTTCTGCTATGCCTTCTGCTTTTTGCTGCCTCCCCATTGCTGGTGTGTAAAAAAGATATGTGCATACCACACAGATCTGGGCATACCACCTCTGGGAATGTGTTGGTGTGTAAAAAAGATGTGTGGCATCTGGGCATACCACCTCTGGGAATGTGCTTCTATACCGACCTGTTCTATTTACGAGCAAGTATCCATGTTACATTGACATACAGGGCCGTTATGTCAAGATTGGCCTTATATAAAAACTGCCCTGACAGCGTCTGTTGGTCAAAATCTTCAGCTGCCAGGTCTGTTTTTCGAAACGAAATATATTTTCCAAAACGTATTTCTGAAAGGCCTCCTTCCATGAAGCTTGAATATGAGCTAGTGTTCCTCAGAGGAGGATGGTTTGGCTTTTTACTCTGCAGCTGTGGCTAGTCCAAATTATACATGAATGTGCATCTGCAGTAGTGGAAGTAGAGCAAATTTATTTTACATAGTATTTGAAGTTATAAGAAAAAAAACATTATTTAGAATAGGGAGAAGGCAAAACAATGAACAGGCCTTAAAGCAGCACTTTAAAGCACCATTGTTGCTTCCTTTATTTTCCATACCCAGGTAAAATCACATTTGCAGAGTCATAACATCTTTTGGGTGCACTCCTGTAACAATTAATCTGTTTCTGCAAAGTCATCAGTTCTGCTCTTCTGTCAATTCCCTTGCTTCTATATCACGGTATTTGCAGACACATCAGTGAAATGTTCAAAGAACACACTCCATTTTACAGATAAGGAAACCAAGGAAGGAGGATTCCCTTGATCAAGTTTAAAGGCAGAATGAGTTATGAGTATCAGGGAAAAATGTGTGTGTGTCGGTCATCAGCAAACACTGCTGTTATCCCTAGCCCCACCTTGGGTAAAGAGCTTCTGGCAGCACAGATTAACTGGTTGTCTTCCAGATATTTCCAGGGCATCTGACTGATCGCTAGATTTCATTAAGGTTCCATTTTTTCATGCTTATTACTTATTACTACTTTATGTTCACATCCGTAGAGATGCTGTGGATGTGTTAGCTTTTTTTTTTTCCCTTCCAAATCAAGAACGTCTGAGACATGCATGGTCTGACAATATTTTTGGGAAGAGCTCAAATGAAGAAAAATGCTTTGGTGTATTCCACATCCAGTGAAGCATTTTAGCTCCATGAGAATAGCTGTTTTTGGCAAGGCTTGTGATCGCCTAGATGAGCCTGCATTCGGCCGTTGCAGTACTCGGAGCTTTTCCAAGCACAGGCTGAGGAAGGATATAAGGACTTCAGAGAACAGGATGTGGAACTCATCCTTTTTTTCTGCTTTTATAATTTAATGTGTTTATTTTCTCTTCCAGAAATGGGAACAAATTGAAAGCAACTCTAAACTCAGGCATGTTGGCAGCAACCTCTGTCTAGACAGCCGAAATGCCAAAAACGGTGGTCTCACCGTTGAGGTCTGCAGTCCTGCTTTGTCACAGCAGTGGAAATTCACACTTAATCTGCAGCAGTAGGAGGACTCACATGCAAAATGCCGTTTCAGTTTGTAGACCTTGGGCAAAGTTTTGATCGCATTGCTGATGTATTTCTTAAACTTTCCACGGAACTTATATACCTCAGTATTCCACCCTTATCTGAAAGTAGGAGCGCGCTGAAGCGGACGCCAGGGAGCTGGGGGACTCGGAGCGCTGCAGGGACTTCCCCCACCCTCGCTGCAGCACAGTTCCTGTTCGGTGTGAAGACTTTAACAGCTCCCTTCTGTCTTCAGCTACGTACTTGCACAGCAGATAATTAACTGTAGGAACAGTTGATGTATAATAGAAAGTGGATCTCAAGAAACACCTGTGGGGAACAGGGTGTGGGGAGGGCTGGGTGGGAAAAACTACATAGGAGAAGATCATTTGAAATCTCCATTTGCTTAGAAATCATTGTTTGTGGTTTCCAGAAACAGAAGTGTCATTTTGAAGGGTTTTTGATTTTTTTTGTTTTTTTTATTTTTTCTGTGTGTACTTGGTATATTTGAATAAGAACTTTTCTATGATGGACTCTAAATATAAATATATAAAATATATATATTGTCAGCTCCCAATGATTTATATCAGTTTTCATCATCCTCTAATTATCAACAAAGTCATTGACATATATATAACCAGAAATTGGATTTGAGTGCTAGGAGAGTGCAGCTTTGAAGGCGCACGCTCTGTGCTGCCGTGTATGATGTCCATGCTAACACTGGATGCTTTGGCTTTGCAAACTGGATCTACTTCTTAACACTTCACCCTCACTGGAGATCATGCAACTCAGGAGGAGAAGGAAAAGAACAGAACAAGCCAGTGTGTCTGCAGAGGTGATTGCTTGGGTTATTTGTTCCAACTTGGAAATTCGTAACACGTGGTCTGGGCATCTGTAACTTTTAAACTTTTACTTGATGTTTGTGTTGATCATTTCTGTACTACTTTGTCTTTAAAATACTTCCGTTGTTTAAAAAAAGGCCTGTATAAACAGAGCAGATCTTTCACAGATGCAGCCACAGCTTCAGCACAGTTGTATGCTGAGCCCAGACAGAATAGATTCTTTGTCTAAATTCAAAATCCCCTTCTGGATTTACAAAGACAGATGAGAACATCATTGTGTACAGATAGTACAGGACCTTGATTTTTTAATTTGCAAGGATGAGCAGCTACACAATATCTCTGAATTGCACTTGCTTAACTTATAGGCCTACTACTGGGAGATTTTTGAGTTATGTTTCTTTAAATGAAGTTTTTGATTGGATTCAGGCTTGGCTCTGGGAATCAGTCTGGATACCAGCAGATCCTATATGTGTTTTTAAATGTAGAAATAATACATTTTACAGCTTAAATCCAGTTGATGTCACTTTTATATTAAAATAATTCTGTCAAAGTTGACTCCAACTTTGATCTGTGCTTTCTTAGATTTGCATAGAATATATACTTTTTTATTATGCAAATGCTTCAGTGAGCTTTTACAATGAGAAGGAGAGGTAAATAAGCAGTTCCAGCAACACAGGCTATAGACAAAAATTAGTGCAGATAGGCAGTGCCAGGAAATGGTTTTGGTGAGATTAGGGATCTCAGAAAATACAGGTGATGAACACTTACTGTGCTGCAGTACGCTGGTGCAGGTTTTCCTTCCTCCGTTGTCTCTGGGAGTAGAGTAGCTCCTGATTGCAGTTTCCTTTGGCTGCGTTTATACAGTAGGTGTAAAGGTGGTACTCGTGGGCAAAATGGCTCTGTGTCAGTAAGTGTGCCCATAAATATCTTGCATGTCTGAAGTGTGACTTGCAAGAACCTGCATCCCTTTGGGATGGGAACATTAAGGGAAATGGTTATATCCAGCTTCTCTGATCCATCACCTGACTTTCCTATGAATAATTGATTTTTTTTTTTGCTTTTTTGCCATGTACTGCCCCCCAGACCTCTCTGTTTAGAGGCCGTAGAGCAGATAAACTAGCTTTCAGCTTTTAGTCTCTCCCTACCTGTAACATTTTAACCTAGAAGAATGTGATTTACAAACAGCAGTGCATTTCTGCTGCTCTGCAAAATAAATGCTCAGATGTGGGCTCACCAGCAAGTCAATTGTTTGCAGATTTGGAAAAACAGAATTTAAATAAAATCCATGCAGCCTCTGCTGTGAATGTTTTCCAATTGCAGCTTTGATCAAGGCAAACATATTATTGATTTCAGCTAGTCCTTGCAACTCTGACCTGCCTCTTGACTCCAAGTCAGAATCACTAGCAAAATTTCCTGCTCTACCCCTTAACCAAGTTTTCAACGTCAACGTGCATCATATATAACAGAAATATTTCTCCAGTTCCCTACAGATGCTGTGCATAGGGACTTTAATATAGGAGCTGTATGGTATAGACAGCATTTCTTTTCTTTGAGAGAACAGACAAGAAGCAGTATCTTTTTGTTATGTTTACATGACAGTGTGCCAAAGTTATTTACTGTGATTTTGAGGGGAGGGGGGAATGTTTAAGAAATCAGCCTATATGAAAGAGGAATCAAGAGCCCTTGAAGCAAATCGTGTGGAGTCGTCTGAGAGCTTTTCTTACGGTCTTCAGAGCAAGAATGGCGATACGCTTGTTTTGCAGATTTTCAAGACGTAGTCTGGAAACTTTTTTTCAGTTGGTTGGAAAAGTCTGCTGTACAGAGCTTGTACTTTGTTCATTTTATAGATGGAAACCATCCTTGAAAAATTGTTTAACTTAAAATAAAGAATGCTTTATAGAAAAGTTCGTGGTTGCTAATTTAACGGAGTGAAAGCAAGAAGTCTGCTTGGAGCTTATAAACTGAAGGGACTTCCAAATGCTTCAGTTGACTTGGTTGTATCAAAAAGTTCCTGTTTAAAAAAAAAAAAAAGAAAAAGAAATTGTATGCACACCTGAGTGTATGCTTCTATTTATGATGAAAAAATGTTGTTTATATTTATATCTGTGTGGCAACTTAGGAAACTGTCCTATTTTAACGACTGTTCTCCTTTGAGCGAGTTAACCCTGCCTGCAGGCGCGGGGCAGTGCCGTAAGGGGAGGCCGTGGTTTGTGTGGGGTTGGGTTTCGTTTCGCTTAGCCCTGCGGTCAAGGCTTCTGCTCTCCCCCTCCTGAGTGTCCAGCTCCGGCCTGTCCTCGTCCGCTCCCGTCTTCCCTCGGGAACTTCCCCGTCCATGGTCAGTGCCTGGAGCGCCTCAAGCAGGTCTGAAATACTGCGTTAAGGGAAGCACAGCCGCTTGATAAAGTGTTTGGGGTGCAGGGAGAGCCCGAGCGCTGCCCAGGCCGCGCTGGGCCGGCGTGGGGCTGCCGTGGTGCCAAGGAGCAGGGCCGACCCCACGTGTGGGGAGCGGGATGGTGCCAGAGGCCGGGCCTGGTGCCGCGTGTGGGGCGCTCCGGCCGTGCTCCCCGCGCGGAGGAGGCTGTGGGCCACGAGGTGGGGAGGGAGGTAGGAGCTGCCCAGGAGGGGAAACGGAAAGTGGGGGAACGAAGGAAGCAAATCTTGTCTGTGGCACCACGTCGCACTGCAGAGGCTCCTCAAGCTGCTGCCTGGGAGGTGTCCTCCTTCCTCGGCAGCAAACGGCAGGGGAGGGCCCTGCCCCTGCCCTGACACAGAGCTCTGAGCCGGGTGAGGAGGTGCTGCTGTGGCACCAGGACCTCCGGGGGGAGTTCAGCCCTTCCACCCCTTCTGCTGCATTGACGGAGGCGGTTCCTGTGGGCCGCAGGGGAGAGGAGCTCCCCCTGCAAACTGCCCCTCTCCCTGCGTGCCAGGAGCCAGCAACGAGCCAGCCCCTCAGAGCCCAAGTCAATCTGCCAGACCAGGTGAACTGCCCGGCAGATCTTGTGTCACTTCTCACCAAAACTCCACCGTTTCTTTCCTCTTATTTCCAAATGTGAAGACTTCCCATTCTGTGTAACTTTTTGTTAGAATTTCAGGTCCGAGTTCTTACTCTGATGTTGCTGCTTTGCATGCGTAGCTTTACACCACTTCCATCGTTATGCATAAGATCAGATATGTTTATACCCTCTTTGTAATGGAACATTACAAATGGAACATCTGGGGTTTTAATCAGAATATTTTTTAAAAGCAAAGTGTTCAAGATGACCCTGACTGGTGTTTCAAAAAGTAGTTGAATACTGAAGGAGTTTAGAAGCTTATAAACTGCTTGAGGTAAGGACTGTTGTCTTGTTTGAGATGGGCTCTATAGGACATCATGGTCCGGTCCCTGCCTGGAGCGCTACTACCATGACTTATCTTGAAAAGTTATATTTTTGTATACAATTATCATGGTCTATCCTGTTTTACTTGGATTTATGTCAAATGTAGATATACTGTAAGTTAATGTGATGTTGAGTCATGTGCATGTATTGTCAGTGTTCTCATGCAGCCAGAAACACAAGGAATAATTTCATAGCAATAACTTGTAGAATACTCCAGCAAGAGGCTTGTTCCTGTCTAGAATGATTTCAAATGAATAGAAACGATTGAAAAAATAGTCTGGGATAATAGGCCCTGATTACAAAATGAGCACAAATGTCAGGGTGAATCTTTTGTTAGACTCCACATTTTATTTACAGCTTAACATCCAGTGGCTATTTTAAGATCCATTAGTAAGCTTGAAAAAACAGGAATAAAGTCAGTCCACAGATGTTCTCTCTGTACAGCCTTCCAAGAGGTTGTCTCAATGGATGCAAAATACCCTTTTTACTTGACTTCTCACCACACAGAATCATATAGTTTCTTTATATGCAGGAAGAAAACTGCTTCAATTCATGTGCCAATTTCTACTAAGCCCATATCTCTTTCTATGTCTATTTATTATTTCTGAAAGGTGTCTGGGAATCAATAGTAAGCTTATCCATGTTTTTTACCCTTACATATTATTTAAATGCCATCTTCAGCGACTTCGACTTTGTGATAAAAAGTGGGTTAGAAAATGACTGCAGAGTGTCTGTTTTGTTTGCACGGTGAGCACGATTCCTGCAAGATGATTTTCCCTTAACCCTTGTAGCACCCTTCATCCTGTTAAACAAGTTGTTTCTGAATCGGGGATCAGGACTCTGGCATTGTGTAAGAGCTACAGAAACCTGGAAAGATGCTGTCTTGGGAGCCTGTTTTCTAGGTAAAGATGTGGAAAGAAAATGAAGTGGAAAGGTCAGAGAGGTGCACGGTGATGAGGGTGAGGAGAAGTAGCTGCAGAGCTAAGTCTCTTAACTCAGGAGGTCCCTTGACACTGACTCTTTTTTTTATGTCTGGGCTCTTTGGCTTATATTTTGTTATGTAGTTGTCTCTTGTACCTGACCCAGGCTTTAACGAGTAGGAAAACAAAGTGGACGTGTGGTCAGGAGAAAGGGAGGAGGAAAAAAAGCACAATAGAAACCTCGGGCTCCCTTTTTCTAGAATATCATCACTTATGACATGGTTA